GTTGGCTTGTGGAGTTTAGTCAACAGGAAATGTGGGATGGAGGGGTAGCTGGGCCAAAGGGTGTTGTGACCTGGCACATGGGGAGTCTGTTTTTGTATGGCAGAGCACAGAGGAGTCCACCAGGAGTTGAGTTCTCAGTGGCCCCAGCTCATGCATTGTATGGGTAAGAGAGAAGGTTGATTGTCAGGGGGAAAGACGAGCCAGTGCTGGAATGGGGTCTTTACCCATGGGAATCCAGAATCCCTTCCCCCAAGAAACATCTGAATTGGTACCACTGCTAGGTTCCAACCAGCGCCATAGCAGAGGTGATCCTTAGGGTGTATAGAAAGACCTTGGCCACATGTACAGTGGACGGGGGCTGGCGGTTCTGTATGCCCTGAAAATAGTACATGCAAATCAGATAAACACCCAGTTTTCTCACAGAAATACAGTTTGTGCACCCACATCCAAAATTCTGTGCATGCAAAAGCGAATGAGCCAATGGGGCAATTTCTCGGCTATGCCTTTCCTGCAATGGGTACAGGAAGAAGGGAGAAGGGTAAACGTGTCCTCAAGCCACTTTTGTGCATTCCAAAATCTGTACCTGGACAGAAGCCATCATGGCCCTTAGCGCTCCTTGAATTTGCTCTGGATTGTAGCAGCCATCCATGGGCCTTGAGGTCAACATTGAATAACTGGAGCCCAGTGTGCTCCAGCCATGTCGTCTCTGACCCCTTCCGTCTACTATCCCCATACAACCCCTGGGTTTGCAGCTGGGAGGGGCCCAGTGTAGAGCTACTACATTGATTTTACTCTGAGCAGGGAAACCTACATAACAGTTCTGTCCCCTTTGTGTCCCTTTTATACAACCAGAGTCCTGCAAAAGGGCCACAACCTAGGGCATAATCTGTCCTGAGGAACTACAGAGAAAGCATGGGAAAATGGAGATATGAAAATTTGAAAGCCACTTTTGAATATCTGGTTCAAAACATATGCTTGTTTATATGGTTTCTTCAAAGTCCCAAAGCATCTTCCCACAAGAGCTTGAATATATGATAGTCATACAGCTTAACTTGCTTTGAATACTTTAAAAGTGCAGGAAGAAAACAAGACTGTGTTTTGTTTTCACAGAAAAATAAACAGGTAACTGAGATTACATGCTGTAGCATGTTAAAGGCACATGCTATTGATCTAACCAGAAGAATGGAAGCACCAGGGCAACTGCAGGAGGAGGCAACACATACTTCTACTGATGAAATTATCACTTCTTTGCTGGAGGTTGAAGATTATAACCCTCAAGTTGGGAGAAATATGACCTTTATCAGTGTGGCCATCATACTTAGCTCTGTGTTACCACTGCCTCCCTTTCCAGTTATCGAGACAAATGGAATCAAGTCAGGCTAAAGTAGTTAGCAGAAGAGATAGTTCTGAAAGAAAAGTAGAAGCATTAAAGCCAGTATGTTTGCAACGTGTTTTCAAAAGGTTATCTGTTGCCCATCTCCACGAGGGGTTCAAGCAGTGTGTGAGTGCGTGTACGTATGATATTCAAAGGGGGAGTGGTGGTGGTGATGTGAACAATGTGCTCATCAAAACATGGGCATGAGCAAATAGTTGTGGTAGTGACTGTGGTCTCAGGAACAGGCACGTGCACGTCCCACCTAATCACACTGTTGTACAGGGTATGTTTAGGTCAAAGTAAAGGAGGCGTTCAAACAGGTGCAAGCCAGGAGAAACAGCTAGAGAAGAAATTCTCCAAAAGTGACACAGAGTTTTGGAGCAGTAGTGGGAGGGAGGGAGAGAGAGGACATTGGGGTGAGGAGTGGCGGGGTGGCCAGTGGGAACAAGGTGCTGAGGTACAAGCAGTGATTGTTTGCTTTGAGGGGGATGATAGCAAGAAATTAGGGGGAGAGCACTGGGGACACCACTGGAAGCAGCCACTCACCTGCATTTATACGCCTTTTACCTGGAATATTATACACTGACAGATTAGGTATGCACCAGCAATTGCGACACATTAATGGTGCAGTAGCATAGGTTAACAGCACATCAGCCTTTCTTAATGTGGGAGCATGACTGGGAACTCTTGGGCATATAACCTGAGTCCTGCACAGATTTTGAAAACTGTCCTAGTGTGAATACACACAAAGCCACTGTGCAAAGGTCTCAGCGGTTGGAGCAGAGGCTTTTATAGCATTGTCACTTCAAGATCCCTTATTCTCCTCCCTAACCCATCTTACATACACACACACACACACACACACACACACACACACACACACACACACACACACACACACACACACACTACTACTACCACATGTGTAGGAAGGAGGAGGT